TACAAGCAGGGTCTTGTAGGTCGCACGTAAGCACAGCAATCTTAAAGGGGCCACGCAGTGCAAGAAACAGGCTGCACACAGCGAAGGCAAAATAGTTTGCTGAGTTTCTCCATCAGTTTCTGATTTGCAGTATCCGCAGTTCTTTGGTTTCTGTTCCATACTGTACCTGCTCTGGAAGTGCGCTCAGTCTTCTCTCCTTGAATGCAGCACTTCATGTGTCTGCTCTTCGGGATGCACAGGTTAAGGAAAAGTGCAGTAGAGACCTTCAAAAAATGAGAGGTTTTAATCATGTAAAGAGGCTGCAACTATTGTAGCTGGCAGAAGGGTCAGCGACTGGGGACACTGATGTAACATAACTGGCTAAAGATCTGAGGGGAAATTAGGATAATTTGTGAAATGTTGTGATCTGGAATGCACAGCCTCAACAATGATGAAGGTAGATTAAATGATAATTGTTAAAAGGGAATTTTTGAAAAGATGGGAAAATAGCCAGGTGAAATGAATTTTGAAGTTAGTGGGACTAATTCAATAACTTTCAAAAAGCAAAAATGAAGTGAGTGGCCTAAGATCATTCCCCTTGCATGTAACAGAACTGCCCTCGTTGGTGAAGGAAAAGGAGGGTAAAGAGGAGAAAAGTAAAGCAAGATAGAGACACACCTGTATACGCGAAGGTATGCCCCCAACCTCACCCCGTGTCTCAGTGGAAGCTAAGCTCCAGTAGCAATGTCTCTATGCGCCAGGAACTGCTCAGCATGTAGCAAGCCATTGGAAATCGCCGGGAAGATGGCAACTCCAAGGGGTTTTTGTGTGTTTAAACACTGAGGAATTATGTCCAAGTCAGGAGCATTGCACTGGCTCGCTTACTCCATTGAAAAATAGAGCATCGTGTTAAAAGTTGCAGTTAAATAGAATCGCTGTCTTATTATGGCTTGTGAATATTTATATTTCTATATACAAGCTACAATGAGACCACTGTGATTGCTTGCATTTTCTAAATGGGAGTGCAATATCTTATTTATATACATATATCAACACAGATATAAAGACACTCAAATAAATAAATCCAGCTACCCAATGTATGCGTGCGCACAGAACTGCTGCTAATTGAAATTAAGGGAATTTTAAACCAGGGAATTCTGTACCTGGCCCAGCAGTGCGGATGCGTTGTGGAATGATCATGTTCTGGTCCCAGGCCGGACGATGTGTTGCTGGGTCGGAAGCGATCCAGCAGGAGGCACTAGTCGCGGTCTCAGCGACCAGGGATACTCAATTAAATCTAAGTGCTAAAATCAGCAGCCGGATACCGTGCTATAAAATAATATGGTACTGACCAGCTCCCCTTTCACGCCCTCGCGCGCATAGACGCACACACACACATAGAAATAGCGAATTTGGTACTTAATTGCATCTTCGAAAGTATACGTTTTCTTTGCCTCGTTTGAGCTCGCTTGAATTACCGAGATGTTTATATTTAGATAACCTATGTATCTCGCCTAGGCTTGTATATTATCAATGAAATGTATACTATGAACAGATATTTTTATATATTTGTACCCCATACCATTTCTTGTGTTACCTTTAACTGGGCCGTGGTTGGAGGTTGGGTCAGTTTTAAGGACGGTGTGATGCGGTTCTGGTCAGTTTTCCTGAAGTTGGGGGGGCGCGGGGGAGGTGGACATTGTGGTCAGTTTTATTGTGCGGAACAGCGCTGTGGTCAATTTCCCTAAAGGGAGAGGTTTATGGTCAGATTCCCGGGAAGGGGGATGGTGTTATGGTCAGTTTTCCTGTGGGGGGAGGGAGTTGTGGCCAGTTTCCCGGGTAGGGGGAAGAGGGTTGTGGTTAGTTTCCTAGAAATGGGAAGGTGGGGGTTGTGGTCAATTATCTTCGGGGTAGGGCACTGCTGTTGTGGTCAGTTTTTTATTCGGGGGGAGCAGATGTGGAAAGGGGGTTGTGGTTAGTTTTCCTTCTGGGAGAGTGATGTTTTGTGGTCAGTTTCCCGGGCAAGAGGGGGCTATGTCCGGTTTTTGTGATACTGGTGAAGAGAGGAGTGGGGGGTGCTGGAAGTAATCAAAACTCTGGAGAGGAGGGTCTTGATTATGTTGTTAATTTTCCTGGGGTGCGGGGTTTGTGTAGTCAGTTTTACCAAAGAGGGGTTGGAGAGGGTGGTCAGTGCTTTTTCTGGTTCCCAATGGTCTGTTTGTAATTACATGGGGAGAGAGAATGAAGCGTTTATTTCCCTGGATTCTCGGCATGGCAGCAGTGACTCTCAGGGTCCGTCCTGAAACTGCACAATCCCAATTCCTGCTATTGTCCAGCCCTAGCACCCACAGGAAATGGAGGAGCCGATAAGACTTGACCTGCACAGAGTGGTCACTGGTCGGAACCTTTAAATATCGCGCAGCCCAGTGAAGAGACAGAATGAACATATTGGCTGTTGATATGGCTAGCTGATTGGCAATATTTCGATCGCTTTGTGTATGGATGTGAACACCAATCCGTGTTTAATAATAATGGGCATTAAATCCCTCATCTGTAATGAGGTAAAATCCCCAGATAACACCAGGAGCCCTTAGTTTAATTGACCTGTGGACATTTCAACGACCAATGCCCAGGAGGTATTTTTCAGACAGTACTTTTATTCAAAAGAAAAATCTTCCCGTTTATTAAACATTCGTGGCATCGAAATGAACAGGGATATCTCGGCGCCAATAGGTCTGGTTAAACTTGTAATTTTTAAACTCAAAAGAAACTGCTTTGATTCCCGTGTCCTTAGCGACATTAACATGACAATATCCTTCTCACCGCTTCACTTTAGAGGTCAGAATACAATCTGTCGTCATTTCAATTCGCCTCGTTTCTTTATCCTCGCCCATCATGATTTCTTTGAGGAAATATTTATTTCTGAAGGGTTTTATACACACGAGATACTAATCGATTTTACTCATCTCGCTGACTGACCCCCAGTGAGTCAGGGGCTATTTAAGGCCGTCACCTCATAGCCTGGAGCGGGTTATCAGGGTTAGCTAAACCCCACACTCGCTGAACCCAAATTCAACTTTTATCGTCTACCAGCCAAGTCATCTCCTCCAACTCAACACTCACTTTATATAGTCGAGGCACCGAATGACTGAACTTCGAGGACAAGGCAAAGTTTAATGAAGTCCCTCGCGATTCTACTTCTGCAGCAGTGACAGTTTATATTGTTACTTTCTGGAGAGATTTAAATGTATTTTCAATGGGCGATTTTACTCAGATACAAAATGCTTAATGCGATTATTTCATCTGAACGTTACGCAATGAAATTATTGCTTTTGACCTTTTTGCACAATTCAATCCTCCGAAAGATTTCCGTGCAGTTCCATTGTTTAGCAAAGTCGAATCGGTCTCCCACACACCGTCCACCCCACACTCCCTGATACCAGCCCCGCTACCTTGTTTTACCGAGTTCCCCTCTTGTAAACCGTTATAATCTCGGTCCGGGTGAGATTGAGACAGAAATGGAATTGAAACTTTTATTTTTGAGACATTTGTTCGGCGCCTGGGAGGTCTTGAGATATAAAAGGAATGTGCCGTGAAGGGGGGGGGGTGGGGTGGGGGGCATTGTTACAATTGACCGCGGCGGAGACTGACCACCTTACCACTAAATGCACCCGGGTGAGAATCTCCCCTATCTTCCCCTTCTCCCAATTCGCCCAACATGATTCCACTGACAGGTAGTTTCTGGTGGTCATTGGCTAGTGTTCGGGTTAGGATGGGGTTGGTATGTGAGAACCTACTGACGAGTGTGTCTTTGTACGAGTGTGAGAGTGAGCGCGAGTAGATGTGTGTGTAACCTGAGCCAGGCGAGTTAATTTTTCTCCCAGAGTTGCATCTAACCTGTGAGTTTCTCCTGCTGAAAAACATCGCAGCTGGGTGAAATGACCGATTAACAAAAGGCTCTGCGATTTTACCTTCAACTCCTTTTAACCTCATGCAGTTTATTTTGGAGAAAAAAACTTTGTTGCTGACCCTTATCCCTAGAGCTGAGAAATACAAACCAGAAACAGATCCCAGTTGTTAAAAACAGAGTCCTGTACACAAACACCACCCACCCCCCCCACCCCCAAGAACCTCTAAATATAACAAAGAGCTGGAGCTGTTAAATTCACACATTGTGTCTTCTCTCTATTGGGATGGTCGGTGGATCGAAGTGTGCGATTTGTGGTAGTTATTGATCCTGGGGAAGGTTTTAATTGGGAATCATGTGCACATGGCAGGGAACTGAAAGACACACAAGGTGAAGAGAGAGAGAGTGAGACTCAGTACCTGGAACTGACTCATATCTCGATGAAATTTACAACGGCGGTAGTCCAAGCAGCAATTTGTCCATCTCTTAAATCTGGATAGTTCAACTGGACAGAGGCATTATCCCGGGATTAACACCGCCTGCCAAAATGGCCGAAGGTTTTTTTTACTTTTTTTGGGAATGGAGGAGGGCATGGTCATCTTATTCCCTCTCTCCGTTTGAATCGCTTCTTTTATGACTGTGTGTGTGTGTGTGTGTGTGTGTGGAGAGAAGGAGGGGGCGGGAGGGCGCTTGAGCTGCCCATTGTTTATCCGCTTCTATTCTTCAGCCCCACGGTACCCGCCCACCTTCATTCAGAGGGGAGGGGGGGGAACATGTTTTGTATAGCTCCCATCCCTCTCACCCCCCCTTCCCTTTCACTTTAAGCGGCTTCCGAGACCTGCAGCAAGTCCCACGTTTTATAAATTGAAGGATTTACCACTGAAAGCCAGAGGTGTACTGTAGGAAGAGAGAGAGAGGGGGCAAAGAGGAGGATTAAAACAGAACCTCAAGATTGGAAGAAGCGGAGGTGGTGGTCGACACCAGGATGGGATCCGTTTCTAATCAGCAGTTTGGAGGTTCTGTGTCGACTTGAAGGATATTTTTTAGAAGTCTTTTTATTCTTTTCTCCCAGTTGATGTTGATTGAATGGATTGTATGTGTGTGAGGGAGAAAGATGCGGTTTGTGGGTGTTAAGAATTGCTTTCAATCGCTGACTTTTTTTTTCTTTTTTACCCCCCCACCCCTTCCTCCTCGCTATTTCTCGCCTGCAGCAGGTTCAGGGAGAGGTACTGAGCAAGAGCTCGGAGACTCTCCCAAGGCGAGCGTGTCTTTCGGTACCGGTCAGTGTAAATGGTTCAATGTTCGCATGGGATTCGGCTTCCTCTCCATGACCGCTCGGGATGGAGTCCCTCTCGATTCGCCGATCGATGTCTTTGTCCACCAGGTATGTGCACTAAGCAGGCAGGCCCGGCCTCCTGACTTGTTTGGTGGGGGGTGGGGGGGTGTGGGGGTGTGGGGTGAGGAATTTGGTTCGGTGAGAATCGGTTCCCAGTTTCTAAACCACGTTTGCAATAACCCTGTGTCCTCCCTAACCCTGTAGTTTCTCACTGAATCAATTTTCCTTCTACCTGGTCTCGCGTGTATCTGAAGATCCGATAGAGGGGGCGGATTGAGGTGGATGTGGGGGGGCGGGGGTTCGCGAAACAAGTTTTAAGTTTTTAATGGAGTGAAGAATTTTGAATTGGGAAGGCGAACGTTCGCCGGGACAGTCTGACTGTGTCTGGGCAGGCGAGAGAATGTGAAGACCACGTTGATGGGAGCTGTTGTCACGTTAGGGGAACTCGGACACATGTTGGGGGGGAGTAAGTGGAAAAATGAGTTTCTTCCTGGAATAGAACATATATCGACGGGGTCGGGGGCGGGGGGGGGAGGGGTTGTTGATGTATTCGGTTATTGATTTTTGCGGAGTGCCGTTGAGAATCAAACCAGCAGCTGATTACCAGGTTCCCCAAATCGGTCTCAGTATCCCCACTGTGGGAAATTGAAGGATTGTATGTGAAGCACACAATGGGGTTAGTCACTGCGGTGTGTATCTCTTTGCAGAGTAGCTGAATCCTCTCTCTCTCTCTCCCCATTCTTTGACCCCTGATCCCCTGGCGTTGAGTGGGAGAGGTGCAGGGTTCCAACTACTCTCAATGTGATTGTGACTGACCCAGAGCGGACTCCTCAGTCCAAGAGCCGCAGATTGGCCCGATTGTAGTGGAGAGTATTAAACAAAGTACAAAGATAGCCTTTGGCGATTGAACCGTGGGTATCCCGGACTAGTAAATCACAGCAGCCCAGTGACGTCACCCAGCATTTCATTTCATTCATAAAAATCCTCGCACTCTTAACCAGTTTTCAGAATTAAGAATCACTTCAAATAAGCCGAACGATTCATTCTAACTGTTTCTAAGAAACTCGCAGCTTTCTAATTTGCTTTGTGTCGTTAGCATTAAGTTTCTTTTAATGTTGGAAACTGGATTAAAAAAATATTTGTTGTGTTTAGGGAGGGTTCCATGTGTGTCCCTCGTGTAAATTAATGTCAACATGAGCAATAGTTTGTAAAGCATGAGTCAATATTGACAAACACCGGGTCAGGAGGAATTGATATTCAGAAAGCGCGCTTGGTAAATTGTCTTAAAGTATTTGAAGGAAAACCGCGCTTTTAATAACATTCTGACGTCGAATGTAGTTTTGATTGTTACAGTAAGGATTTAATGTTTGTCCTGTGCGTTATACATCTTAAATTACAACTCGCCAACTTGGCTCCGGTTCAGATCCCAGATGGGGATGTGCAATTACAGGGCAAAGCTTAAAGTGAAGCAAGGCTGTTCAGGAGTGATGGTACGAGGCACTTTTTCACACACTTAGAGTGATAGAAATCTGGATATCCCCGCCTTCTCGTGATCCGTGCAGACTTCCGATCCCCATACTGTAGAAAAATGCAGAAACAGAGCGGGGATGGTGCAAAAAAATTTACAAAATTATGCCAGAATGGAGATTATGCTTACTAGGAAAGGTTGTCCAGACCAGGGCTCTTTTCTCTAGAAAGGAGGGTGACCTAATAAAGACCTTTACAATTATGAAGGGTTTGATACGGTCGAAATGGAGATGTTTCCACACCTGGTGGAAGCCAGAACTAAAGGCATAAATATAAAATAGTCACAAAAAAAAAATCGCAGGAAGAAATCATTACTCACTTGGGAAATAATATTGGTGTATTTGATCTGAACAGTCTGTGTGTGTGCTACAGATTCTATGTCAAGCTTTTTTTTGTTGTTTGTGTCAAAGAATCCATACTATGGCAACTACAAGATCCAAATCATCCATAAATAAATTGATTGGGGGCAGGGTGGAGGGCTGTAATGGACCATTCCCGGTCAGATGTACCCCCCCCCCCCCCCCCGCATTAGATAAAATAACATTACGCTAGTTTCAGAAAAAAAGCTCAAAAACATTCTTAACGAGGGAGATAGGAATTGTTCTGATCAGACATTTTAGCCCAGTGCTGTGTGTTCATTTGAAAAGTGGATCAGGGATGACGTTCCATGAATTAACTAGCCAATTAGCAGAACATTTTAACTGAAGTTGTGCGGCGGGGAGGAGTTTTTGCTTGTTGGAGCTCAGCCAAAGGATGTCTTGCATGTAGTAAATGGCTGATGAACTTTTCAGAACTTTTCATTTTTTTTAAGTTTTAAAAGGTGCAGTATGGATTAAGCTAATTTATCCGTAGTCATGGATACCGCTGGAGATTGAAATTCCTTCTAGAACACTTACACTTGCAAGTCCCTTGCAACCTCCACATCTCAAAGTGCTCCATAACCATTGAATGTTTTTGCAAGTGTCATTACTTTCAACACTACTGAAGTGCCAGCATAGATTGCATACTAAATCTTTGGAATAGGACTTGTACCCACAATGTTTTGGATTTGGAGATAAAAAGCTGCTCAATGAGTTACTTCCATAGCCTAAGGGACAATTAGCATTATCTAATTGATTTGGATTTCACTGTGATTTCTCACCTTGTCCACCCCAGTCCAACACCGGCACGTCCGCACAATTTGGATATGTTTTTCATTCTGAAGGTGTTAGCTCTGGGATAACTGTTGCGAACAATCTCCTCAGTGCCTTGCTGAATAGTACTATTTGCAATGACTTTTATAATGAATCAGCTCTTGGGGTTTGGGATTCCAATTGAGGTAAATCTGGCATTTAAAGCCCGCTCCCTCATTGCCCTTGAGAAAATGCAGTTGAGTATTATTCTTGAACTGTTGCTGTCCTTGTGTAAGTGTGCTCATGCTGCTTTTAGGGAGGGAATTCCAGGATTTTGACCCAGTGACCATGAGGGATTAATAATGTATGTCTAAGTCAGGATGATCTGTGACATAGAGGGAAACTTGGAGAAGATGGCATATTACTGTAGAAACCTGTAGATGATATTGATAGAGGGAATAAATGTTTAAGCTGTTGGATGAGGTGCTTTTCAAACAGACTGCTTTGCCTTGAATGGTGCCAGAACTTCCGAAGTATTTTTTTGTTCATTAACGGGATGAGGGCATTGCTGACCAGGCAGCATTTATTGCCCATCCCTAATTGCAGTTCAGAGTCAACCACATTGCTGTGGGTCTGGAGTCACATGTAGGCCAGGCCAGGTAAGGGTGGCAGTTTCCTTCCCTGGGGGCCTTAGTGAACCAGATGGGTTTTCCTGATAATTGACAATGGATTCATGGTCATCATTAGATTCTTATTTCCAGATATTTATTGAATTCAAATTCCACCATCTACCATGGCGGGATTTGAACCCTGGATCCCCAGAACATTATCTAGGTCTCTGGGTTAACAGTCTAATGATAATACCATTAGGTCATTGCCTCCCTTTAATTGCTGTAGCTGCCTCCATATTGGGGGTGGGGGAGAGACATAAAGTGTATTCATCATGCTTCTTGTGCCTTGTAGGAGAGTGCTCAACCTCTGATTTTCTCAAGTAACTCTTTCATTTATGACTGATCCAGTTGAAGTCTGTGCAGTTGGTGTCCACTACAACCTCACCACTAGATCCAACTGGGTAACATCTTCCTGAACCCAGGAAGCAGGAAACTTTAGTCCTGCACAAAGGACTAAAAGGGCCCATAGATACATCCCAAATTCAGCACAATGACAGTAGTGACAATGATGCAAGCCATTACTTTGCACAATCTATGCATCATAACATACTGGAATGCACCTCTAAAATGGGCTGCACTATTAATGTATTCCTTGGTAACTGCAGACTGTGTGTTGACACTCCTAGGATCTGATGTTGTCTACAAAGATAGCTTTTATATGACCGTCTGGGTAGCAGGATGACCACATAAAACATCAGTGTCTGTCCTCACTTTGAATACCAAGCAACACAGACTCTTTATGAAACCTCCAGGTCCATGGAATGCAATATAATGCAAGCCAGCAAACAGGAAAAATGACCATCGATGAGAATTGAGCAGCCTGCAGTTTATAGTGTAATCCTGTTGCAAGATGAGGAGTAGTGGCTGTGGCCCCTGAGCATAAGTTATAATCCCTGTGTCCCATTGCTCTGAGACAAGGGATGTGGCTGTTCTGCTTAATGGGTAATGTCGCCCTGTCAAGAGAGTTGCCAATCCATGAGGTTTGTCTCTGACGCCTCTAAGAATTTAAGATTAATCTCCTGAATACTGCAAATTCAGGGTAAAAAACATACCCACTGGAACATTATAAAACAATATGTGCTTTCTTCATTTTTTTGAACAGTTCTATTTCTCGTTTTTAAAGATGTTGGAGAATGGAGAGGAGGGTGTGTGGTGGAGGGATTAAACAGATGTTTGATTGAGGGAATGGGGGGGGGGAGAGGTTTGGAAAGTCATGTGATAGAAGCTCTGGAAATTCATCAGGCCAGATTTGGCGACTTTACCTTTGAGCAACAAAAGGCATTTTAATGATGGTGGAGAACATTTAGGCAATTGTGAGCAGCTTTCTTACAAAAGGTGCCTCCTTGCTAACTTCATGGTCTTATTCACTGCTAAGCACAACATTTGGTGTCAGCTCCATTGTGATTGTTTCTCCCAGGAAAGCTCCAAATGGCTTATTTATTGCTCCAAATGCTCTGGTCTGGAACATCAAACAACATCACCATGCCAGCTCCCATTTGTTTTCTTTTGAAGATGTTTGTTAAAGTTTGATCTACACTGAGTGCTGTCTCTTGTCAATCATTTCCACTCCCCCCCTCTGCTGCTCTCCTGATAGAACACTGATTCAAAGAATACCTACAGTGTGGAAACATGGCCTTCGGCCCAACAAGTCCACACTGAACCTCAGAGCATCCCACCCAGACCCACCCCCCTAATCTTCACATCCCTATGGGCAATTTAGCATGGCCAATCCACCTAA